CTATATCTGGACCTATATCTGGACCTGGACCTAGATCTGGACCTATACCTGGACCTACCATTCTGTGTTCGTCTGTCTCTCCTTCCTGTCCTCTTAACCAGCCGGTCAAAGCAGATGGTCTCTTGTCCTGATCCTGGTTCTGCTGGAGGTTTCTTCCTGTTAAAGGGAGTTTTTCTTCCCACTGTCTCCACTGTGCTTGCTTATGATGGGAGACTGCAACGAAGCCAAGATTCAACTTGTCTGCTGGATTCCTTAGATAGAGAACTTTATAAATGAGTAATGACACGAGACATCGGGGCTCTTCTGGGTTTGTGAACGCATCACAGACCGGAGAGGCCAGCGCTGTAAACTGTAACCTTTTCCTGCCATGATTTTAATATAACTGGTAAAACTTAGTTGACGTTTCCTTGATTTATTGTTTAGTATGAGTTGCCACTTCTGAGGGAGATTCGAGCCGGGGGAGGCAACGTGGGCTGGAGGCGGGTCCAGGGTCCGAGAGGGGGCCTCTGGGTGACCGGTGACCCGCAGACAGCCCTGGTTCAAACGCAACACTAAATGGATCTTATGTATGTGAATGTTCCTGTAAAGTCCCTGAGACAACTTTGTTGTGATTTGGAGCTATAGAAATAAACTGAATGGAAAAATTGAATTGAATTTGTTAAAACCAGGTCTCTCTTGTAAATGAGTCCTCGAGACTCAATGGGATTAACCTGTAGAAATAAAGTCTAAAAAAGTTAAATCTGGTCCTCTGGACATTCAAAAAAAAACCCCCAAAAAAACAAAGCAAATCAACAACAAAAAAAAAAATTTGATTTGCTTTGTTTTTTTTGTTTTTTTGAATGTCCAGAGGACCAGATTTAACTTTTTTAGATTTTTCTACCTGGATTATTGAGCATGCATCAGGATATGTAGAAATAAAGGTTGCATGAATAATGTTCTTCATTTTATGAAGAATCCTTTAAATAGGATAAATTTGTTTTCCTAAAATATTAAGAGGGACAATATTATCTAACAGTATAATTAACAATATCTTAAAAGTTGTTTATTATTATTATTATTTTAACAGCCGGAATAAGTTTTTTATAAAAAGTGACATGCCACGTGACATGACACGGCTGTTAAAGGAAATAGCGCCCCCTTCATTTCCGGAGTTCCATTTCCAAATATGGTATGGGTTGGACCCTGGTCTGTCCCCGCCCCTTTCTGTTTGCTACGCAGACTTGTCTGAGGAGGACAGGTCTCTGAGGAGGACAGGTCTGGTTCCAGAGGAAACGGTCGTTCTTTGAGGACACACCAGCACCGCCGGGGACGGAGACAGAAGAGGACAGCACCGTCGCGACCTGTCCTGCAGCCAGCTGTCTTCATGTAGGACAACAGGAAGTATATCTGCGATGCTCCGACATGTTTGTGACTCCAGGTGAAGCAGGACTAGGACAGGTCCGGTTCAGGCTCGGTTCAGGTCCGGTCCTGGTCCGGTCCTGGTGGTTGTCTTCTTGAACTCTGCTGATGTTTGATCCAACGTGAATGAAAGTACGGCCCGCGGGCCAAAGGCGGCCTTTAAACGATCTCCATCCGGCCCCAGATATCCTGATTGAAAAGAAATCAACTTTAAAAGAAGTTCATGAAATCCTGTATTTATGGAACGAAACCCAAGGAAATCTAAATTGAGTATCTTTGACAAATACATCTAAAACTTTTTGATAAACAAAGTCCAAAACATTTTTATCTTCAGAATTAGATCAAATAAAGCAAACGCATAGCTTTTTTTGTACAGATAAAGTTAACAAATATGTTGCACAAGAGCTACTTTACAGAAAGTATGTTCTAACGGATTTCTTTTCTGGTAAAATAAAAGTTTAAATAAATAAAAAATATTCCTAGCGGGTCTTATGGAAACATTTTATTGCCATTCTAACAATAGACGTGTCAAAAAACTTGAGTTGTTCTTTTTACACATGCAATGGACAGAGCTTGTTGATCCAAAGAGAGCGACACCAGCATCGTCTGGATTAGTGAAGAAATAAATAAGTCATTACAAAATTAGTCTAAAATATTACAGTACTTTTTTGTTTTCTTTCTGTTTTACATAAAAATAGACAAACAGCTGAGATCGACCTGCAACAAACCACGACTCATTTCTTCAGGTAGTTGTATATTTTCAGAACTGACACGTCCTTAACTTTATCTATATTCATAAATATTGATTTAAATCAGTAAAGACTGTAAACTGTAGAATATTTAATGAAATGAGCTCTAATTATCAACAAGTAGATTAATCTGGGATCAAAAAGTTTTTCTCTGTTTTGTACAAACCGGATTCCAAAAAAGTTGGGACAGTAAACAAATAGTGAATAAAACCTGAATGCAATGATGTGGAGATGCCAACATCTAATATTTTATTCAGAATAGAACACAAATCACAGATCAAAAGTTTAAACTGAGAGAATGTATCATTTTAAGGGAAAAATCTGTTGTTTCCAAATTTCATGGCGTCAACAAATCCCCAAAAAGTTGTGACAAGTCCATTTTTCCCACTGTGTGGCATCCCCCCTTCTTCTTCCAACACTCAACAGACGTCTGGGGACAGAGGAGACCAGTTTCTCCAGTTTAGAAATAGGAATGCTCTCCCATTCATGTCTAATACAGGCCTCTAACTGTTCAATCGTCTTGGGCCTTCTTTGTGGCACCTTCCTCTTTATGATGCACCAAATGTTCTCTATAGGTGAAAGATCTGGACTGCAGGCTGGCCATTTCAGTACCCGGATCCTTCTCCTACGTAGCCATGATGTTGTGATTGCTGCAGAATGTGGTCTGGCATTATCGTGTTGAAAAATGCAGGGTCTTCCCTGAAAGAGATGACGTCTAGATGGGAGCACATGTTGTTCTAGAACCTGAACATAGTTCTCTGCATTAATGGTGCCTTTCCAGACATGCAAGCTGCCCATGCCACAAGCGCTCATGCAACCCCATACCATCAGTGATGCAGGCTTCTGAACGGAGCGTTGATAACAACTTGGGCTATCCTTGTCTTCTCTGGTCCGGATGACATGGCGTCCCAGTGTTCCATAAAGAACTTCAAATCATGACTCATCTGACCACAGAACAGTCTTCCATTTTGCCACACTCCATTTTAAATGACCCCTGGCCCAGTGCAAACGTCTGAGCTTGTGGAGCTCGCTTAGAAATGGCTTCCTCTTTGCACTGTAGAGTTTCAGCTGGCAACGGCGGATGGCACGGTGGATTGTGTTCACTGACAATGCTTTCTGGAAGTATTCCTGAGCCCATTCTGTTATTTCCTTGACAGTGGCATTCCTGTTTGAGGTGCAGTGACGTTTAAGGGCCCGGAGATCACGAGCATCCAGTAGAGTTTTACGGCCTTGACCCTTACGCACAGCGATTGTTCCAGATTCTCTGAATCTTTTGATGATGTTATGCACGGTTGATGATGATAACTTAAAAGTCTTTGCTTTTTATTCACAATTTGTTTAGTGTCCCAACTTTTTGGAATCTGGTTTGTATTTGCCACGACATTAAGTCATGTTGTCTGTCGCATCAGACTGTCAGTTTGAAGAACAAATGTTCTGTTTGAGCTGTCGACCTTTGATTTAGTGCTTCAGATCTTATATTTTAGTGCTGTCGACCTTTGACTTGGTGCTTCAGATCTTATATTTTAGTGCTGTAAGCCCGAGCTTTAACTGGAGGAGAGTCGTCGTCACATGGAGGAACGGCAGAATCCAACCAATCAGGAACGAGCTGAAAGATTAACTTCCCGTCTGCGTCGTGCTGAAAGTTCAGAGGTCAAATCCCCCCAGGGCCGATAAAGAACAAAGTGACTAGAGGGAGTCTTGTGCGCACTACACACACCGTGAGCACACACTGGTGAAACGTGCACATCGGGTCTGTCTCGTACTAACTACGCTCCAAGAACAGCCCTGGAAATGTCTTTGATCTGACTTATTTTAAAGAATTGTTCTCCCCCTTCACTTTGTGAACCTCGATTTGACCCTCTGTTAGCAAAATATCACCAGGGTCTGTTTGTTTATCTGGTTGTAAGAAAACAAACGCTGCTATAATCCAGCTCTGCACACGTTGACCTAAAGTTTGGTGTGGGAGTAGCTGGGAGTCATCCACAACGTGCACTCTGAGAGCTACTCATTGTGTGAGGACTGTTGGAGGTAATACTGTCTGTCTGTTAGCAAAATATCTAATGAGCCACTGAAGAAACTTTAATGAAACTCTCACAAAGTGCCACTGGCTGAACTTCTACAACTGATTAACTTTGGCAGCCAGTTTAATGTAAGATGGCCGCCACACCCAGTGGACAGCAGCTCCATCTCAGCCACTTTTACAGATGTTGAGCTGGAGTGTGATGGTCCAGCAGCTGAAAGTCCTGAGTGACGCTTTTACATTTTAGCTGTGTGTTTACTCTGTGGCTTCTCGAGCGTTCTGTGTTGCACAACAAACGAAGGTTAAAGGTTCCCTCCAGCCAGGGAACTCTGAAACTCTTTCCTGGATCACAGCACGAGCTAGACAAACTCCAGGACCATAGAAAGACGGAAGAAACTAAATAAATGTCATTTTAGCTGCAACCAGCTGAAAACTGTTCATGTGAGCTGAATCTGAACAGCTGTTTGCTGAAAGCAGCAGAATAAGATGAAACGGGAAGAGAGGCCGAATAAGTGACAAAAAGCTGAAATTAACAAACAATGAACTGAAATGAACAGAAGTTAAAATTAGCACAAAGACACCTTCAAAAAAAGATTAATTTAGCAAAAAGAACATGAAAGGAGGGCGACACGGTGGCTCAATTGGTAGAGTCTGTCAGCTAGAAGGTCGCCAGTTCAAATCCCAGCCTGGGACCTTTCTGGGTGGAGCTTCCATGTTCTCTCCATGTTTTCTTCCACAGACCAAAAACATGCATGTTAGACTGATTGGTAGCTCTAAATTGTCCCCAGTTGTCCCAGTGATTGACTGGAGACCTGTCCAGGTGTCCATGTGATGGACTGGAGACCTGTCCAGGTGTCCCTGTGATGGACTGGAGACCTGTCCAGGTGTCCCAGTGATTGACTGGAGACCTGTCCAGGTGTCCATGTGATGGACTGGAGACCTGTCCAGGTGTCCCCCGCCTCTCACACAGTGACTGCTGCATATGGGCACCACCCTAACCCAGAAAGGAAGAAGCGGGTAAAGATAATGGATGGAAGTTGAAAGGAGCATAAAAAGTTGGAATTGGTAAAAATAAATTCTTTAAAAACTATGAAAGAAGCTGAAATTAGAAAAAAGAAGCTGAAATGAGCAGCAACAGGTTGTAAACTGCTCCATTCATTTTCAGTGAGGAAAACATGGCCGACACAGCTAAATCTTTCAAAAAGTAAAAACTGCACAAACGCCAACAGTCCCAGCAGGAATGTCGTGAATGAGCCAAATGATTTGAAACAGGAATTGTTGAAACATAAGAAAAACTGAGGGACGAGTTAGGAGCTGAAAACCCTCCAGAAGGTAACTGATCTGAAGAGATCTCAACAACGTTGCTACAAAGTGACTCTTGTGTCTGTGATGTCGCAGCATGGATGGGAAGCAGCATTGTGTGAAGCTGTCAGTGCAGCCGTCCAGAGGGCTCATGGATGAGAAGTTTGTCATCCTGGTCCAGAACGCCCTCCCTGGTTCCAAGCTGACTCTCCACGCCCTCCATCAGTGTGAAGACGGACACCACTGGCAGGCCTTCGCCCATTACTCTTCTGATGCCACAGGGGCTGTCAATGGTAAGAAGATCACAACCTTACGGAGCAAAGTGCATTAGGAAGTGTTGGCAGCGTTTTTCTTCGGCTTTACAGTTTCTGAGGACTCCAGTCTGGGCGGGATGTACTCGGGGGTTGAACCGATGGGTTTACTGTGGGGCCTGAAGCCAGTTCCAGGTAGCAAACCTGGACTCAGGTTGGTCAGCCGAGCAGATCTCATGAGCCACTAACCAACGTCAGAGCTAACTCTTGTGTCATCCGTCAGGATGAGGAAGAAGAACGTCCAGGTTCCCATGGTGGTTACAATCTCAGTGTACCAAGGTCACCAGACGGAGGGCTTTCTGGACCAGAGGGCGCTGGCTGCTGTGGAGGTGGAGCGCTGGTACATGGCTCCTGGAGTTCGCAGAATCCCTGTGGAGGATGGGCTCACCGCTACGCTCTTCCTACCTTCAGGTAAGTGGATAGGAGAAGGTAGCAGTTTCATCCAAGTTCTTAAAAAACAGACACACAAAAATTAGTTTTCTGAAATAACTAAAAACTGACAAAAGTATGAAATGGCTCGTTATTCCTGTAGCTCTGACCTTGCTGCTGTGTTCAAATGTATTTCCACACTTTCAGCTTTAATCGCTAATTTTATGCTTTAAAGAATGGTCATGAAGCACCGTGAGTGTGTGTGAAGGAGTGGGCGGGGCTTAAAGCAATACATCACTAGTGTGCACACTCTGGTTCCAAAAGTACATCATGGTATCTTTTGTAAAACTTTCTGCTGGCTTGAATTTCCAGCAGTGCGGGAAAGTGGTGACAAGTAGTCTAATATTAAATATTTATGGACTTGTCGATTTGCATTTTGGTAACGTTGAGTCTGTCTTTCTATTAGGGCTGAACAATTAATTGCTTTTGCAATAATAACACGATATGTTAAAACAAGATTTTCTAATCGCAAATGCTGCAATTTCACTGGTCATGTGATCTGGTTACATGACTTGTAAGTGAGCGGAGCGGGAGAAGTCAACGCTGCGCTTTGACCGGTTGCACAGTGGCGTCAGGCTCGACAGAAGCTGACGCATCTGAAAGTTTGGTACCAAAGAGGAGCAGCACGTCCGTTGTTTGGGATTATTTTGGCTATAAAAAGAAGATGCTGGGCAACGACATGTGTTGTGCTGAACCTGCCTTACTGCTGTTGCCACCTCTCGAGATAACACCACAAATCATTAGCAACACTTAAAAAAACACCAGAAAGAAAGACCTTTACAATAGTTGCATGGCTTGGGGGGAGGGGGGGTGCGGTAGACAAAGCTTTTCCTTAGTTTACACATTTCCCCAGGAGAAATTTGATGTAGGCCTGTTTTCGAGGCCAACCAGGTGAGTCAGATTCATATAATCCACAACTGTTGATTTTCTTCAGGCAGACTGTTTTTTCTTGTCAGCCTCGAGTCCTTCTGGTACTTTCAAGATCTGAAATGACCAGATTAGGGTGCATTTTACTGGTCCATGCCTATGAGCCCCTCCAAAGTTGTTTCCAACATGCTGGCGAGTCCCAAAGATGCAGGTGGCCTGCTATTCTCACAAATCACTTCCATCTTACGGTTTAGCTCGTAAATCAGCTGATTTTAAGTCCTCAAAGCACGAACCAAACCTTCACAAGGCAGGCAGCTTGACGAGGGCCAAGTTAGCTGCAGCTGTCTTCTTGTAGGTTGACTGACCAGGAACCAGCTGATTCCAAAAAGCAGGAAACCTGTCATCATAAATACAATTGTATACGTCTTTGGTGTCCTGAGATTCTCAGCGGGGCATGAGGGCTCTCCAGGACCCTGTCGCTTTGTTGAAAAGATTTTGTCGATTGCGTCTAGTGTCCAGTTGGTCAGATCCATAACAGTAGTTTTCATTTCAGAGGATGTGTGAAATAGGAGCTCCGATACACAGACAGAGCAAAAAAAGCAGGAGGAGAACAGGAGAGGGAAGAGAATGCCTCCGCTTCAAACGAGAGCGAGTGAGGAAAAATTATTATTATTATTTTTTAATTTAATATATTTACAATGCATTTAATTTACAGTCAATCATATTTACAATAAACAGTGTAATTTCATCTGAATGGCCATTCAATACTTAAATGAAACAAATTAAACTAAAGCACGCATGAGCTCTAAAGAAAAGAAAACAACAAAACAAATATTCATCACAACAATTCTTAGTCCATTAATATTGCCCATCCCTGCCCTCCTTCGGTTCATTAACCCCAGGCTGGGGTTTATTTTTTCATTCATTCAACCTTTATTTATACAGTTTAGCCTAATTGAGCCACGGGGACTCATTTGAAAGAGGGACCTGTTCCAGACAGAACATATAAAGTACAGACAACAAAACAGTAAACAATGATTACAATAAACCAGTAATCCTTATAATCCATGTACAAGTTCCAAGCTGATGCTTGGAATGGGGCAGTTCATTTGTGGGGGAAAATATACAACAGTCAGAGTTGTGAAACAAAAAGGAAAGTCATCAGCTGCACGGAGCCTCCAACCAGCCTGGGACAGGAGAGGCCCGAAGTCTTCACACTATTGTAGTGCACTCGTCAGTTAGTAGGCTCGAGGCCTGGACCATTAGCTCGCCATCACAGGTAACACCTGGCCTGTACAATAAAACAGGACCAATGTTTCAATATATACATATCTATCAATTTCCTTAAATGAGTCGATTTGTTTCAAGTGTGCACACAAAATTCAATAAATAGCACTAGCGGCACTATAAATAATTCCAAACAATCCATATGCATATGAAATAAATAGAATTAATTCAATATATAAAAATTATTTATATTCATGGAATATACAATAAATATACACCATATACATTTGCAATTTAAATATACATATAATATTTCAGTCCCCCAAACAGCAGCAGAACTAGTTAAAGCGTATGTGTCAAACTTGAGGCCCGGGGGCCAAATGTGGCCCTCGTTGACATCTTATCTGGCCCTCAAGATGATATGTGAAATGTAAAATACTTTTATCTCTTGTTTTTTTTTCAGTAATTTTTGATTATGATGTCAAAAGCACAACAGAGAACATCAAACGAGACCAATCAAACTCTTGTTGAGGAACCAAGAAAAGATGTTGGTATCTTAACTTGAGTTAATGTTTCTGAAATTGTCCCTTAGTTTGAAAAAGGTTTTAATTTTGGCCCCTTTTTGTGAGTTTGACACCCCTGAGTTAAAGTGTTAAATAAAACAAATATTTAAGGCACTTTAATTTCATTAATGTTTTCCTTTAAAAGTTAGTATAGACATATGGGTTTTACATTATAGTAGTCCCTCGTTACTTTGTAGTTCATTTATCGCTGACTCGCTCTGTCATGGAGAAGCTCTTTGCCTTTTCTCCTTCAGCATATTTGCAACCTTTCTGTGAAGGTGAAATGCTTATTTACCTTCATGATGTGTCCAAATAAGTTTAAAACCGTAAACTGGATCTATTGTTGGAACAAAAACAAGTAAAAAGTGTTTGAAAAGTGTTTCGTCACAGTTTAGTCAGCGTTTCAGAAAGACAAACGATTTTTCTGATTGTTTTTGTTCCTGTGACGCACCTGAAGGACCGGGACCTTTCCCCGGTCTCTTGGACCTGTGGGGTGGAGGAGGACAGTTGGTGGAGTACCGCGCAGCTTTGTTGGCTTCCCATGGAATCGCCTCGATGGCGCTCGATTACCTGACGTGTAAATTCACAATGGACACGGGGGAGCGAGTGGGCAACGACTACTTTGAGGTAAACCTATCTGCAAAAGAACAATGAATACGCCAACAATTCTCAGTCAGGTCATCTGGACAGTTTCTTTCTTTTGCTGAAAATATAGAAACTGTACCTGGATTATTGAGCATGGACTTTTTGGTTAACAATGAATACTCTGCCCAGTCTAGAATTGTTAGTATAGTTGTCAGTATTAGTTATCTCACCCTGAAAGAAACCCTCAAATTTCAATGGATTTTTATTTTATTTGACCAGTTTAAAGACCATTAATAATAATATTTTTTTTGAAAAGTCCACATTTGATTTTTTGATTGACAATTTTAGTCCAGTCCGGAGTTTTGTGAAGACCCTCCATAATAGGTATTTTCTGTTTAACCTTTAAAGATAATAATTTCACACAACACGGCGAGGTGGGTTTTTAGCGCTCAATACCTTTGCAAAGTGAGAGTCACTCTAGGTCAGAGTGAACTCTGTCGTTTTGCTCGGTGAGTCTGTATTTATTATGAAAAGTGGGTCATGAAAACAGGTCAGGTTTACATGTACAAAAATCTTATCAGGATGACGGTCAGAACATTTCAGAAGATTTAGCTTGTACAGATAGTTTCTTGATAAAACTTTCACTTGATGTAAATGTAGTCTTTCCAGAACTTACACACACAGCAACAAGACTAAATCCTAAGAAATTAACTTTTTGTTCAGTACATGTGAAAACAGATATTATATAATGAGATAGAAACCATTTTAAAATAACAGAGAAAACTCTTAACACTCCAGACCACCGGACCCTTCAGATCCGGTGGATGAAAGGGAGCCTTGTTTTCTGTCAAACTTAAATGGTTTGCAGACATGGAGGTTTATTCAATAATTAAAACAATTATTTTCTTAATTTTTTTATGACTACCTGTGAAAGAAATGCTCGTTTCTAAAAAATTTTTGCATGAGCTGACCCGGTGCACTCGCTAATGACGTCCTGCTCTGTGGGAAGCTAACAGCAATATGCCATGGAGCGACCGGTGCTGCAGTCTGCATGCATGTGAAGCAGCTTTTTAGTACTAAATGTGTACTTGTGTACATTACTGTCACTATTTTCAGATCTCAGATTATCTGGAGCCACTGAATCTTGTTAATACACCTGGATCTGTCCATCACTGCAACTTTCACTGTTTTTGGGTTCTGAATGATCGCGTCTTCATTAATGTTTCTCATGGTTCGATTATGGGGGCTAATTGTCACACTGTTAACTCCTATAATTGCACATCAGTCACAAAAAACTCAAGAAAATGTCTGATAATAATGTTGTTACTGCTCTCACGGATTCAGCCCAACCCTGGACCCCCCACTATTTATATGACACCAAATGACTTTAAGAACGTGTCTGGGCTTCATTTTCTGCATGTAAACGCTCGTAGCCTTCTGAGAAAACTTGATGCCTTGAAAATTCTGGTCAGTTCTTCTGGGGCAGATGTAATCTTCATCTCTGAAACCTGGCTCAACAGATCTGTACTCAATAATGACCTGACAATCAATGAATTTAAAATCTACCGCTGTGATCGTCAAAAAAAAAGGGGGGGGGGGGGGGAGTCGCTGTTTACATCAGAGATTCTTTGTTTGCTAGTCCTGTGTCTTCTAAAACAATTCCAAAACAGTTTGAAGCCTTAGCTGTAAATATCACCTTGAATGGTGGCCAGATCTTATCTATAGTCTGTTGTTACCGTCCACCCTCAGCAACACCTGAGGCTCTGTCCTCCCTGATGGAATTTCTTGGTAATTTAAAATTCAAAGAGATCCTTTTCAATTCAATTCAATTCAATTCAGTTCAAAAATACTTTATTAATCCCAGAGGGAAATTAAGTGTTGTCGTAGCTCATCATCCTGGTTTCATTCAAGAGCTGTTATAGATGCTGATAGCTGTGGGCAGGAAGGATCTCCTGCAGTGAAGCCGAAGAATCTGGCCACAGATACCGATCCGTCCACCCAGATCCATCTTGCTGTCAGATCCGGCGGTCCTCTCGGTCCTCCTGGGCAGCAGGATTGCCCGAATGCCCGAAAGAATTCCTCCCTGAGTGATGGTCACTCCTCCTAGCAGTCTGCAGAGCTCCACACGAGCCGAGTTTCTCACCAGCTCCAGGATCTCGGTGGTGAGGTCTCGAGCACCGCCGCCAGGTTGACGGGAATTTGTCCATGGCACCTCCTTTTCAACTCACGTGGGATTTGGGGCATCACTGCACCCTGCAGGTGTTGAGGGACGATCCTGTCCTTCTGCTTTCAGGAGCCGTGTCTCCCGCCAGTTCCAGGATCCGAGTGGTCAGGCGCTCAAGCACAGCTGGCAGGCAGATGAGAATGCGTCCACTGAACATCCTTCTCAACTCTTTTAAGATTTGGGGCTGTAGTTGAGATATTATTTGAGCTTTTGAGATGTTAATCAGCTGCTGTTGGTTGTAGAAAACTGCCTTATTGCCATGGTTACGCATCATAACAAATGTTCAAAACTAAAAAAGTTTCAGTAAAAATCCTTCCAGCTGCACAGCATCAGATACCAGAGGAAACAAACATCCAAAAAACATGATCCACATCCAGAAAAGAGGAATTAAAGTTTCCAAAAGCAAAATCTCAGAATGAAAGTAACAGAGCTTCTCCAACATGCAGCCACCTTGAGCGGCGCAATTCTAGAACTTCTGGCTGGAGACCTCAACATTGATTGGTGTAAGTCGACCCCCCTCTGTGATAAATTCAAGGAATGTTGCCTGTCTCTCAATCTTACCCAACTGATCAACTCTCCCACTAGATTAAACAAAAACCGTCCTGAAAAATCCTCCATCTTAGACCTATTTCTAACCAATATGCCTCACAAATTCCTCGGTACAGGTGTATTTGCCAATATCTTGAGTGATCATTGTGTGACAGCGGCTTTGAGAAATATTAAACTTCCACCTTCTAAGCCCAGATTAATTCAAAAAAGGGATCTGAATCATTTCTGTGAACAGTCATTCCTCTGGGATCTGTCTCACTTTGACTGGCATCGTATTCTGTTAACTGATGACGTGAACTCCGCTTGGAACTATTTTCATAATAGTTTCATTTATTTTGTGAACAAACATGCTCCTTTTCGTCAGTTCAGAATAAAGGGACGAGACAGCCCCTGGTTTACTCCAGAGCTAGCTGACCTCCTGCACAGGAGAGATCATTTTTGGGCCGCAGCGAGAAAATCTGACTCAGACACTGATTGGTTGAGTTTTCAACAGATGAGGAATAAATGCACAACTGCTGTCAAAGCAGCAAAACACAACTATTTCTTATCTCGGACCTCCAAAAATCTAAATGACCCTAACAGATTCTGGAAAACCATCAAATCTCTCTCAGGCACCCCCCAATCATCTGACCTCCCATCACAACTTCTCGTTAACTCTGTTCCTGTGTCAAATCAGCACAAGATCCTGAACTGTTTCAAACATTTTGTTGCTTCTAGTTCTTTATTTGACACAGTTACTAATGGAAGATCAGCCACTTCACTTAATAACCAAACTTCTTCAAATCAAATCCCTCCTACAAGTCAATCCTCAGTTAATCACAGCTTCTCTTTTTCTCCATTCTCAGTCAGTGAGGTCAATAAACTGTTAAAAGATCTTGATCCTAAAAAATCTGCAGGTCCAGATGAACTTCCACCTTATTTCTTAAGGCTGGCTGCTCATATCATCACAGTCCCTGTGACCCACATCTTCAATCTCTCCATGAGACAAAACTCATCCCAGACACTTGAAAACAGCCTTTGTTCTTCCTTTGCTGAAGGGAGGAGACCCCACCTCACTGAACAACTATGGACCAATCTCTAAACTCTGCATTTTAGCCAAGGTTCTAGAAAAACTGATAAACTCTCAAATCAAAAATGACCTGGACTCATTTAACATCTTACCTCCACATCAATCTGGTTTCTGGAAACAACACAGCACAACCACTGCTTCACTGAAGGTTCTTAATGATGTTGTTGAAGCACTGGATGCTAAGGATCATTGTGCTGCACTTTTCTTAGACCTGTCTAAAGATTCTGACACTGTGGATCAGAACATCTTGTGTCATAAATTCTCAGAAATCGGTTTCTCAGAACACACCATTGGTTGGTTCTCTAACTATCTTTCAGATTGGAGGCAATGTGTTCAACATAATGGTACTTCCTCCAGTTATTTAACAGTCAACAATGGTGTACCACAAGGCTCAGTCTTAGGACCCACCCTCTTTACAATCTACATACATAATGTAGGTAAAAACATCCCTAATGCATCCATACATTTCTATGCTGATGACAGTTGTTTATTGTCGAGCTAAAACTGTTGCTAAGGCTTTCCAGCTTTTGAAATTTGCGTTCAACATCATCCAGACTGATTTGTTTCGCCTTAAACTTGTCCTAAATGCCGACAAAACCAAAGGGATGCTTTTTTCAAACAGGAAGTTGGTCCCAGCAGTTCTTCCTCCGATTTTATCCTCAAATGGTGTCCCCATTGAGTTTGTTGATTCCTATAAATATTTGGGTATTTTGGTCGACTCACTTCTCTCTTTTAAGCTCCATGTGGAAAACTTGGTAAAGAAACTGAAAGTTAAACTGGGTTTCTTTTTCAGAAATAAATCCTGTCTAACTTTGAATGTTAGGAATCACCTTGTATCTGTGACTTTCCTTCCCTCCATTGATTACGGTGACATTATTTACATGAACGCTCCTACAAGAACCCTGCAGATGTTGGATGCTGCAGATGTTGGATGCTGCAGATGTTGGATGCTGTCTATCATGGTGCACTAAGATTCATAACTGGCTGTGATTATCGTACCCACCACTGCACCCAGTATTCACTGGTTAACTTGTCATCATTAACTTCACACAGACTCTCTCACTGGTACATTTCCATCTTTAAATCACTTCCTGGTCTGCTGCCTTCATACATCTCCTCCTACATGTCTCTGCGTGAGTGCAGCTACAGCGTGCACTCTCAGGACATCATTACCTGCAGTGTTCCCTCAGTGAGGACTGA